TTTATAAGTATACTTAATTTACAGAATATAATTGAAACTCTAAACACATATTATTTTAAGAACTCCGGGTCAGATTATAAAACTATTGTATGCACAAATTCAAAATGTAGCACTTATAAACACTTAGATATATTATACATTTATAATTTTGAAATATAATCTACTTAATCCGTAATTTTTAAAAAAGTTTTTATTTATTAAGCATTTTTAATTTTATAGATTTTCTTAAAATACATATTTATGGTGTGAATGTATTAATGTTGAGGTTCTTATAGTAGTTAATGGCCATAAACAAATTTTACGCGTTTCATATGTAGTTCACATATTCTTAATACAGTAAATGCAGAGTAATGTTTAAAATATTTTTTTTTTTATGTCTTGAATAAAAATAAAAATAAATTAAATCGAAATATTTGCACTACAAACTAAGTATAGCTTTCATTATTTATGTTGCTATACAATAAGTAAATAAAATAATTATTTATGTTGTTCAATGCGATATGCTATTATTTATTATTATGAACCTATGTATAATTAAATTGATATAAAAGATCAAAATAATATATTCAATAATACTTATAAGTTATAAGTATAAGTTTTCCTACAAAAGTTATTAGAAATTCTCAATATTTTATATCAATTTATTTTATTTTTTTTTTAAGATAATATTATATATGTGTAATCGAAAAATAAATGTAAGTATAATGAAGAAAAAGACATATTTCCAGAATGAAAAATCCTACCTCTAGAGAAACTTGGAATATTCTAGATATAAAAATATAACAAAATTCATAATAATTTTAGACAATAGTTATTGTTTTTTATACCACGTGACTTAGTTTTCATAGAACACATAGTTTTGTTTTAAATCACTGAATTGTTAATCTTACAGTCCTGATCACTTAAACGTTTTTTAAATATCACGGTAAATATAATTATTTAAAAGTCATAGGCTAATAAAAAAATAAAAAAACTTTAATAAATAAACTATTATTAATTATTAGCATTTGGTATTAATGGTTGTTCTAAACCTACGTATACGACCAGAATACAGACAATTTCTTCTAAAAAATTAATCTTTCGAAATATTTTGAATTCTGATAATTTATAAAATAAATTGAATAAAACATTATATTAATTTTAATTATTATTAATATTATATAATAACTAATAAGTAATAACTATGATTATAGAATACCTTCACTAAAATCGGTAGCGTTATCAATCTTTGTCTTTTATAACGTTATTACTTATTTTATATTAGGTATTATAATTTATCAGGATTTGTAATAGATTTATGTAGATAACTTTACTTTCTTATAAATCATGGTCTCTACCATTATCAGCTAATAGATGTGTATAATAATTATTAATTTAATTTAATTTCCCTCTAGATGTTTAGAAATAATATATAAAATATAACATTATAACCTGTAGAATTGAATAATGTAAATTTAATTACTACGATTTGAAATATTATTAAATATAGTACCTATCATTTGGATATCAGTAAATATATTTCCTTCACAGCAACATAGTGACCTTTAACCATTGCAAATGTATATTCTTAAATTAAGGTACGTAGTTACATTATAAAGTAAATACAAACAAGAGTACCAGTAAATGTGTATTTAATCTAGTATAACTATTTTTAAATTATTACTATCAAAAATGAAATTATTAATAAATAATAAAAATAATAATTAATAAGTATTTTTAAGTTAATATAAATAATTATTATGTAATTAGTCTTCAAATAAAAACTGCTATTCAAATAATTTATAAAAACAGAATTACAGAAGTTAAATGTAATAAAATGAATACTTCAATAAAAGAAAAAACATCTGCTATTCTTTAATAATTGTAAAGAATCACTTAAAACACTTACTAGCTTGTGTTAAACATTATCACACACATTTCCAAATTCAAAATATGTATTTATCCTCTCCATTATATTAATACATTTTATTTGCAAGAGAAAATACAATTGTTTATGTTAAAAATATTTTTGTTTAGGACTCCAATTAATGATAACAAAACAATCAGAAAAAATAAATCATAAATTTAACTAAGACATGTAACCACATTAATTATATAAGTATGGTTTGTTTCAGTAAATAGTATTATGCACGAAATGGTTTTTATTACTAATAAATGTTATGACGATTTAACAATTCTTAAGATTTTACGATTACTGCGAAGCAGATAAATGCACTGTTTTAAAATGACAAAAAATAAATAGATTAAAGAAATAATAAAACGTTACGGTCAAATAGATCAAAAGGAAAAATAATAAATAAGCAAAACAACTAACATTGAAAAAAAAATACTTGGAATAAGTTGTTGTGGTTAAAAATAAAATTATGCATATAGGTAAATAAAAATTATAACCTAAGTACATTATTTAGTAAGTTGATAACGCTATTATTATTGTTAGAAAAATTAGTTACTTAAATCTGGGTATTTTTATTTAATTCTAATGAACCTAAGACATTTCATATAAAAAAAAAAAATTGTAAGCAGGTTTATTCAATAAAGAATAATTTTCTTATAAAATTTAAAGATTTTTGAAAAAAAAAATTATTTTTTAAAATTTTTACTTATTTAAATAACAAGTTTTTTAAATTATTAACCAAAAGTGAAACTTTTAGAGAATTTCAATTAACAAAAACCGAATTTTGAATTAACCATTAACTAAAGTATTAAATAGTTATAAGTGTTTATAATGTTTATTTAAAGTTTATATTTAAGTGGAATGCGGTGTGAACTACCCCACAAAATTTTAATCTATTACTCTACTCATCAATTTTAAATATCTAGTAATAACAAATTAAATAAAGTCGTCCGAAATCCTATTTTTATTCATAAAAATTTTCAAATAAAATAAACTATCGTTCAAAAATGTAAGAACATCATTCAGTATCGCTTACTTTTTTACGTAGGTTTTTTAATTTTTCTACAAATGGTATATTATATTGCTACCTATACCTATTACCTATACAATTTCAGTATATTTCATATTGTATATTTAAAAATTGTGAAAATAAGAAATTCATAGTAATTAATTAATTAAATAAATTTTATCATTGATTATTAGTATAGAATACAGATGAACTGTATAGCTAATAATTATTTAATGGCAATGGTATATGATATGATTTATTTTCGTTTGAGACGAATATTACCAATTTAAATCTATTTTTACTATATATAACCTAGTTATATATACATTAATTATACCAATGAATATTTAAAACAAATTTATGTCACGTTGTTTAAAAAGCAAAAAATTAACAGAAGGTATTAGTGAAGCCTATTAAAAAAAAAAAAAAAAAAAACATCGATATAAACATAATTATTCATAATGTATTTAATTTTGAAATAGATATATTAACTGTACCAAGTATTATAGCAACAAATATTGAAAAAAATCATCATAACCAACCAATAATAGGAAACGTATATTAAATAATTATCCAAACAGCTTTTTATGATTTATTTTGTATAAATATATACTTATAATTATTTATCGTGAACTATATCCCATATAACAAGGCATATTCATTATTATTCTAATAAAATATTATATTGTATTTATATTTAAGTATAAATAATCCCCTGTAGACCTATCGATGAAATATATTACATATTATATGGCTTATGAATTTTATGAAGGGATTTTAACTAGAGTAGGTACCTAATCGGTGTATTTTAACAGATAAACTGTAGTTTAAAATAATAATGGCCCATAAACGTCTCAAAAATAATTAACTATAATTTATTAATAATAATAAGTAAAAAGTAATAAAAATTAAAAATGTATTCAAAGTAAAATAAATATCATATAAACATTTTAAAATAAATATAATCTTATTTTACAGGCATAATTCAGTATTAATTGAATTTAACCGATTACAATATAAAGAAAAAATATTTTACAGCATTTTAATTATAATACATCATGTTAATATACGTTATATTAAATACATACGAAAAACCTATACGAAAAAAATATTATACAATATTCTTTAATATTAAATAAGAGGTAAATAATAATAAAAACAAATAAAATGTTTCTAGATTCTACTAGTTATTTGGGTATTTTGTATACATAATTTAAATTATTTTGTTTGCATTATAAAATAAAATCAATAATAATAAATAATGGAATTCCCCAAAAAATCAACCAGTTTATTTTCATGAATAATTAATACATATGTATAGTAATTTGAAAATTGAAATGCAAGTTCCGATATTTTTTATATGTGGATTTTTTTTTTAAATCATTAACCTTTTCACTAAAAATAATCGGTATAATTAAATATTTAAATTAAAGTGAACAAAAATTGCCATGCCTGAAACACAGGTATTATGACATTACGCCAAAAATTATATTTACAACGCCTTAAGGATTTCGAATAATATAAGTTTAAACATTCATGCAAAATTTTTTTCGTTAATAATCCATGTTTATTTATATTTTGAAGGATTTATTATTAATTTATCATTTCATATTGAACACCAACTATATAGATATTAGTCTCTTTTGACTTTGTAAGTATCGCTTTATTGGAGTAAATAAACTTACAAAATATTAACAATAATGTCTGATCATTAAATTTAAATGACGATAACGAAACATAAATTAACTTGTAATAGCTCATAATCAATTAATATTTGATAAACATTTATAACGATATTCTTATATTATATTAATATTATGTTTTTAAGGTTTTTTCATAGAAATAATTTTCGAAGACACGACGCGTAAAATATATTTAATATACGAGTACCTAAGGAAGTTTTTTTTTCAATGCTACTAAAATTATATTACTTATACCTATATTAAGAATAAAAAAAAAAATAATTACTATTTCTATGATATAAAATATACGTAATATCCGAAGCTAATATCTATAATTTTTTGAGCGATTTAATGGTTTTATAACTGGTATATAATTAATTCAAACGAGTTAAATGTTAAATTCGACTTGTCTTACCTGCGACGATGGACGAGCTATGCGTTCTTTTAACGTTTGCGCCATCCAACGTGTCCTGTAACGGACGTTTCCTGTTTTCGACCGCGTGCTGTTGCTGTAGCTGAAGATGGTGATTATGTAGATGATGATGAAGATGATGATCGTTGACCGGTGACGCCGGGCACGCGTCCATCATTTTCACGTCCCCGGCGGCGGCGGTTGTTGTGAAGCAACGACCGCCGATCGACGGCGTTAACGCCAACGATAACGGCGACGACAACGATAACGGCGACGACGACGACGACGACGACGACGACGATGACGACGAAGACGACGACGATAACGACGACGGCGATGATGACGATAACGACGACGGCGGTGACGGCGGCGACGACAACGACGACGGTAACAGCGGCGAACACATACCGGCGCCGGCCGCGGCCACCGAATCGAACTGCATCGCGTACAACATTCGCTGGCAGAAGTAATGGTCAGGCGCCGACGCCGTGGCCGCGTACAGCTCCGCGCCATCGGCGCCGCCGAACATACCGCCGCCGGCACTCGTCTGCGATGTACCGGTCAAAAATTGCATCGCGCCCGAATTTTTTCTCGTGTCGCGACGGTAAGAGTAAATTTATAAAAAAATTCAAAATTCAAAATTCCTATTAATAATAATATTAAAAGATGATTGTTATTAACGTTATAATAAACTCAGAATCACGCGAGTCGTTATCGCTGAGCAACTGATGACGACTGCTGCTGCTGCTGCTGCCGCTGTTACTGCGACGACGGTGTCGTTCTGTTGAGCGCGGTCAGGGTTAACACGTGTGCGTTACACTAGTGTCCGCATGCCCAGGCGAGTAACTCGCGACCGTCTGACGGACGACCGTTTATAATATCATAATAGCAAATAAGCACGACAATGATATTGCTTATAGTTATTTTAATCGTTATTATTACTAGTATTATTATTATTATTATACTATGCGTTCTTCTTTCCTGTGCCGATTTCCGTTGTTGTTGTTGTTGTTGTTGTAAGGCCGGTTGCACGCTGATATTTACTGACGACGACTGCAACGATGTTGTGGACGATCACGCGGGTGCATGCGAGTTTAACGATTAGCGCGCGCGACCGGTGTGCAGCGGGTCCGCGCTCGATGGCTGCCGATCGGTCGGCCGCCCGCCCGCCCGTGTCCTTGCCGCCAAAAGACCTTGTCCGCGCCGACCCACTCCCGCCCTCACCCCTTCCATCCGCGCAATTACGCTACGCGAGAGCCACCGCCGCGACCGCTCGTCCGTCGGCCGGTCGCGGGTAGGTCGTCCGACCGGTCGTCATCGTCGTCGTCATCATCGTATCGGACGATCGGCGAACACCAACCGATATGACGCCCGAGTGAGTAGGGCGCCGATCGTCGACGCCGTCACGATCAAGGGCACCCGCGCCGCTAAGGGCCGTGCCACCGCCGGACGGTCCCCCATTAAGCGATAATATTTAGGTTCTTTTACAATAATTCAATCCAAACATTTATCGCTTTTATCGTGAAAGCAGTAATAATTATATTATTATCATCATCGACATTATAATATTATAATAGATACTCACATATTATCTTAATGATAAGCTCCAGTGCTGCAGACGCCACTCTGTGATATTATTTACTTCGTCTAATGTTGTGCTGTTATGGACGAGACATGCGTGTGGAACGAAAACTCGCTCGCGGTGCTGTGGTAGCCATTACCTTCCGCTCTGCACTTTTAAAGCTGTGTTACCGCGGACTACCCTCAATCGATCATTTATAATATAAATTATAATATTCCGCGCAGAACACAAAATTATGCCCTGGCAAAATATTTTTATAATCTGCGGTGTTGCATATTTTAAATTTATACTTCAAGTTTTTGAAACTTAGCAAATGGTAGATAGTTAATAATTGTTCGATTTAAATTATAGACTTACCACTAGTATACTTAGGAATTTTACTTTATTCGTCAATAAAAATGAAAACAAGTAAATAGTAAGTACATGCTCTGAGCTCTTAAAAACGCTGACCACTCGCGAGCTTATAATGACCTTAAATAAATAAAATAATAAAACCTATGACCTTAAAATATAATGTACAAAATTATGTGTTTCGTGTTTGAAGACCGGATTTTTTTTTTTTTTTGCTACGTGCACTTGAAAAACGTGCAAAATTAAATTGTTGATGCATAAGCCTTAGAATTAGAGAGCAACAATATTTCTATCATGGATATTTAAATTTATGTTTTCATCACTATTATAATAATTAGTTGTTTATAATTTAACTTGCACCGTTTTATAACTATTTATCATAATGTATATTTCCAAATTTTTTCCCGTGAAGAAAAATTGTATAAGATTTTTCTTTACATAAACCTAATTATTGTGGGTATATCATAGACTATATAAAAACAGATAGATTACTCGGCCGAAAACAATGGGAAAATAAAATAAGATTCACATCTCTGTCTTTATCTTTTTTATATTATATATATATAATATGTATTATTAAGATAAGCTTCATCGTCTGGGCCATTGGCTGACAATATTGTACTCACATAATTCACATTAACATTGTTATCTATTTTACTACATTGTAATTAGTAAGGTCCAACGACATCGATTAAATGACACAAACAACAAATAATACCTGCAATAATACAAAAACATATATTTTTATGAAATCATATTTAAAATATAAATTTTAATTCGAAAACCTTGAAATTTGCAATTATGACAAATTAAAACTTTTTTTAATTAATCTATTTCACTTTATTCGGATTTATAACTAATTTCTATAAAATTTGGTGCATACGATAAAAATTTCAAAATATTGCAACTGTATAAGAATCCTTTCTTTAATTATGATAAAAAAATTATTGATATTATTATGTTATTTAAGATAAACAGTAAGCACTATAATGATGTGTACGAAAAGATGAAAATTTAGTGGGGTTTGTAAAAATTTTGTCTCTTTAAAATAATTACCCAAATTATATAATATATTATATTACATATGAAAATTATGTAGGTATTTTACTTTTTAGTTGTTCTAAGATAATTAATAATATCGGTATTGTATAGTTTAAACTAAAATGTATAATAATATAATACAAATAAAACTGTTAAATCTCCTCAGAAATAATATTTTTGATTTATAAAAAAATAATTAACATCGTTTTATTCATTATTAAAATACATAATTTAAAGTTTATAAAAAAAAAAAAACTATATACATATATTTTAATTTTTTTAAATTAAAAAATAAAAATACTTAAGAGGAATATTATAGGTATTACATTTTCAAACATAATACATTCAACATTAAAATTAAAATTTAATACATTTTTCACCATATAACAATATAAACTTTAAAAAAAAAATGTGCTTTGTAATTTTAATAATTTAAATCAGATATATGAGCAACTTAGATAAGATCTTGAATTAAATTAGAAAAAAATAAATAAACTAATAAAATCGAAAATATCTTATGTCTAACTTCAAAAAAAAATAAAAAATATTTTGAAAATTATATCATGTATAGAAAATAATAACATAAAATTTGGTGAAATGTCAGATATCTTCTGTTTTTATTTTTTAAATACAACAAAATAACAAAAATTGTTTGAGGAGAAATAATTATTCTAGGAGTATAAGTCATTTTAATGTAGTAAAAATTTTAAATTCAAATAATGATAAAAATTAATTTACTTTCCTGTAGGAATTTTTTTTAACATATATTTCAAAACGTATAAAGTATCATGTATTCCATTTTAAATTTTTAAGTATAAACAATCAATTTTTCAAGAACTTCTAACTACAAAATAACTAGTAATTTTCAAGATTTTTTTTTTTATTGTAAAATAAATGATCACTGATTGGGAACTTTGTATTACATTTTTAAGCATTTTACTCATTCATAAATTTTATAAAATCAAAAATTAAATCATCTATAAATAATAGGAAAATTCTCATTTTTCCACTAACTAGCAATGAGATCTATTTTTCTTATAGAAACCACCCCCGATTTTAAAATCGAAACATTTTTTTACCTCAGAAGGTGATGATTACAGATAGAAAAAAAAACACACATCATCATAAAATTAATACATTCATTACTCCGCATAGAATCTAAAATTATGTGTAATTTAGAATCAATCATTATAGTGAAAATAATGAGAATTATAACTCATAATATTATATCGAGTTGCAAAACAAAATTGATTAACTAAAAAATTAAGATTCGCTAAAATTTAATAGACCAATCGTGGGCCACTAAATCAAATTTAAAAGATTAATACATTGATTTGTTGTATATTAAATGTTGATTGATGCAATCCGACAATATACAATATTACTTTTTACTTTATTTTCAATCATCATAAAATCAAAAGCCTTCGTTATGATATAGTTCAATTTTATTTTTATCTTGTATAACATGATATTTTAAAGATAAAAATTATATGTATACTACAGTATGCATAGATATACGATTTATTCCTGAAAATGTAATAAAGTAACAATGCATTATGCATACATTTACAATATAGGTACATATTTATTTTTATCATAATGTATAAAATACTACAAACAGGGAAAAAAATTATCGATTCGATAAGATTCCCATCGATTCCCATCGGTCTCCTATCTATTTCTCCAAGTATACTGCTGCAGAATGATTACCCGAGAACATTTTCAAGCGCCTAGATTTTAGTCTTATTTTCGGCCTCAATGGTCTCATTTCACAAGAAAGGCTTTTATTGCCTTTGCCATTAATCTCTGCCGTCGGTTGAGCTGTCCATACGATATATGGGTAGTTATGCATCAAACGCGTATTCGAATGATACATTTCGACTCCACTCGATGTACCCATAAATGAATGTTACGACTGTTACGAGTCATATTAATATATTATATAAACTTTGGAAAACTTTCGGGTTCGTATATTTGAGCTAATATTATTTATTTTTAAAACACTGCGCACTCAACCACATCGCGACTTCTCCTAAAAGATTTTGATGTATTTCCTGTCATATAAATGTACAGCCGCACTCATAATATAACGTATCTCTGTAATATTACCACGTTGGTAAACCGAAATATCATATTACAATATTGCAATAGCACCAGCCATCAGGTAGAAGCATTAGCATCTATAAAATAAATATCACGTATTTATTATTATATCACGTAGTATAGAACACTCGCCAACTATCTCCTGTTATTGTTTTATGTATACATGAGTATGTATTACATATATATTGCATACATTGTATAGAGTTATTTCGATGCGCCTTTCTGTCTTTGTAACTATAATAAATAACTTAACAGTATAATACAATTTTTACAGCTAAAACCAACAGCATATTAATGTATTGTATATGTCTAAATAGTATACTTAATACTAAATGCAATTAGAAGATATAGGTATACGTGTAATTTTATATTATATTGTATTATATACATATACATAAATTAACATACAGGCATGCCAATGTCACACAATAAAAAGTACAATGTTATAGGTATTTTATTATGAAATATATAATATAATATGCATAATGCATTTACTATTTATATTGCGTATAGAAAAAACATATGATTTAATTTAAAAATACTAAAGAAATACATATTATACAAATATTTAAAAAAAAACACCCGTTTTTTATATATCACTAGTTTTTATGCGCACCTCTATTTAATTTTTAAATGTTAGAATTTAATAAGTTAACGTTCTGAAATAATACAGATTTTCCATTATAATTCCAGAATTATAGGTTTTATGTCGCCTTATATCAAAGTTACTTTTTTGTCACTTTAAATATATTTTACAATTCTATTATTAATTTTATAATAAACGAAAATGTTATATGATTTGGAGTAGATCATTAGTTGATTTTGTTAATGAAAATTATGCGAATAATCTATTTATTGTGGATTTTGTTTAATTTAAAATTCATGAAAAATTTACACATATTCATAAATTAATACTTACAAACATAAATTTCAGATGTTATAGTGATGGTATTTATTATGAATATCATTAATTAATTATATCGTATATATACAAATATTTAATAAATTAAATATGTATATTATTTATAAATGCAACTTGGTGCTCAATGTTCACC